GATAAAGGTACTGGTAGTAAAGCTTTCCCACCGTTATATGAGTAGACCTTACATTTGCATTGCATTTCACATAGCCTTTTGACTACAGTTCCAACCACGCCTAGGTCTTAGCACTTTCAGCGAGAATCGAACCATGACAGTACATTATATAATCCCGACACGTTGACCACTATGTCACATTGTCACGAGTCCCCTTGGGTCACGACAGACATGCATTTCAAGCGAGGCCACGCACTTTCTCATATCACATTCTGTAGTGGGATTGTCGGTGAATTAACGTCATATTTCTTATAAAAATCAACTACATTATTTATTTTTTGTTTTTTTGACAGGTTTTTGAGACTCATTAAATCATATTCCCCCTATTTCGGTTAAAGTGATGAGGGTGAATATATGATTTACTGGTAGTCTCGAAAGCCTGCTTATAAAATGAAAACTAAGTGATGTAGTCAAAACTGTAGTTCAGCCTGGATGAAAAGCAAGGGTATGTGAAATTAAATGGAAAAGTAAAGTCTACTCGTATTAGGGTGGTAAAATTCAACTACCAGTCCCTTTATCAGCTTACACAAAAGATAAATACATCTATTGCATTTTATTTAGCTACTATATTCTTTATGTAATGTCGATGAAGACTCATTCATAAAGCCTAAATTCCACTCCAGTAGATGCATGATTTATTTTGACTCTTTTGGCTTAGCTTCGTTCTCTACATAGATTTTCGTTTCTTTAAGCCCCATAGAGGTTTATCTTTGCCTCATTTAATCTTTCTGCTTTTTCTAACTTCCTGAGTGCCAAGCATTTTATTTAATAGGCAAGTAAGTTTGTTCTCCTCAAAATTGAGTAGAACGAATAAATTGTGCAAGCAACTCTGACTCTGTCTCTGATCTATTGGTACTACCTTAGTCTCTTTTGGACACTCTCCGATTTGATGTCTTTATACATTCTTGTTTGTTATATTCAGGTACGAATAACCGTTAAGTCGACCATTTCACCTAGCGAGGAGATATTGATACGAGAGATGGGTCGTGGTGAGTACTTTGGCGAAAAAGCACTACTTGGCCAATGCAGACGCACAGCCAACGTCTACGCTCTGGGACCTGGTGGAGTTGAGCTCTTCTGCTTATACAGAAAGTATGGCTATGTATGCCTATTTGTATGTGTTTGTTTCTGACTTTAAATTAATTGTGAGTGTTCTTCGAAACTATAAGTTGAACTTTTTATAAGGGCCAGGGTTACCTTGGGTCTCTTAAGGTGATGGAAGGCCTGACAGTTATGTTTACTTAATCGAAATGAATTTTAATTTGCCTTTTTTAGTCTAGATTATATCTTTAATTTCGCCTCATTTTATCAGTATTTCAAACGGGATTCCGTTCGAAACATTGATCATACAGACTGCCCGTTAGTAACTTTGTCAAGCCGAACTCCTCCAAATCCGTATTCGATATGGGACTGACTTAAATTGTAATCGAATCTGAATGAGAAAGTCCATTAGGAAATAAGACTAAGTTACCTGCTATGGCATCGTGAGGCATTTTTATTAAAAAATCGTTTTGAGTCTTTTTGGGAGCTATACTTATTTTGTTTCGTTCCTCCAAGCTATCGAATTACTAATTGACCGATTCGCCTATGGAACTTTCTGAAAGCTTTCTTACTTTTCAAAATTATTTACCTAATCAGCGAAACTATTTATGTGGATATAGGTTAGGTAGATTGAGTTTAAAAGTATGAAAATTTAAACAAAATTATTATTAAACGCATTCTTTTCAAATCCTTTTTTTTCTTATGGGAGCCATTTTGGCATCCACTTCTCCACTCTAGTGACAGACCTTTCCATGGGAAACTCAGAGACTTATATTAGTGAAAAATGGGTTTGCTAAAAGAAGAAATGGTAAAAAGAACTTTCTTATCATCTCTGCTTTGCAGAGATTTACCATTAAATCACATAACTCCAGACACGAGGTATTTTCACCGTTATCTACCCTCGAATATTAGTGTCTTGGAATTTCCAAATTAGATGGTATATTTAATTAAGCATAAATATTTAGAACTTGTTAAAAGGTTATTGAAGTATAAAGGCTTTAATTATAATCCTATAATAGCCTATGTTATCCTTGCTAATCCTTATTAGGCGTAACGGTTACTTATTGCTAGGTCTTACTTACGCTTGAATTAAGACGAAGTATTGACAGCTGAATTTTTTTCACAATGATAGGAATAGGCCTAATGTTTCCTGTGGATTACACATAGCCTTAATTCCTAAAAGGTATTCTCGTCCAGGATAGACTGCAACCTCAACCTCGCCTAGGTCTTATCACCATTCCCAGAGGAACCTGAATTTGGGTCGTGCAGCGTATAGCCTCGATACGTTCACTACTGTGTCACTGCCACGAGCGCCCTTAGGACATGTTATAAATGCATTTCAAGGAAGGCCAGGCTTTTCGTATATGACCTTCTGTGAGGGTATCATCAACAAAGCATTATTTATTATTCGTTCTTAAGTGGGGTCTCGAGGCCATTAGTAGCTCTTGAATAAGAATGTGTTTCCTCTACATCGAGTCCTATCGAAGGGACTGATGAAACCTAGGCGAGGTCGAAATTGCAGCATATCCTCTATTATAAAACCTTTTGGGAATCCAGTGGAAACATTAGGCATACTCATATAATTGTAGGAAACTTCAACTTCCAGTCTTTCATCGCCTTAAATAGAATATGGTGAGCACAATTCTTATTCGACATCTACTAGTAGACTCGAAACCCTTCTTAAAAATGAAAATTAATTAAACTTTATGGTAGTGGCTTTATATTGTTGGTTCGATCTCATTTTCGCAACTTGATCGGGGTGTCAAAAAAGCAATTTGGAAAGCGCATAGTCTTGTGTTTTCTGCCATCGTATTATTGATTTCTAGCATCGGAATATTGCTTTAATATATTTTCAAACGTTTCGCTGGTATCGTCAGTGAGAGCTACCATCATCAACACACAGTTATGACTTATAAAAGTGACAAGTGAAGACAATCCCCTTGATTTAGAATAGTTACACTAGACAGTTTTCTCATTAGCTTTTTTTGATTCGAGATTCGAGCATCTATCCGGCATATTTGAATGTTATGATTTATTCCATTTCTAGAATAAAGGCTAAAAATGACTACTTTAGAGCATGAAATCCTCCTAGCTTGTTAAAATGTTTAAAATATGCAGTATTTAATTTCCATTTTGCAGGCTCTTTAACTACTTCGTAAATATATACCTATTTTCACGCAATTATACAATCTAAAGAAGTAATTTGGGCGCTTATTTGTCTAAAGCTGAAATTAAGTCGATATATTTCAAGGGCAGTTTTCTTAAATACTGGTTTGTCGGAATCATAAGAGAGATTTTTGCAGGCTTGTAACTTTCTTTTCATCATTACGCCTCATTTTATCCATCATTTTCGGGTATATAAGATTAACTTAGGCACTTAATTCTGAGTGGTGATTTTTTCATGCTTTTCTCTGATGCGTTTTGCTTTTCATATTGCACTTCATCTGTTTTTCTTTATTCCCAGAGATTTCTTAGAGCTAATAGGAGATATTAAAGAACTTCATACCAGAGACTATGGCGACGAAAGACAGCTTATGGAGGCTCATAGGTTAGTGCTTATCAGGCTTTTTTTTCCATTTCCATTTTGTTAGATGTATGGATACTTAATTTCGCCCCCAATTTTGGCCCTGTTAGAACAGTAATTTAAAACAGGATACCTACTGGAAGTCCGGTTCTAATCACTATAATGCCTATATTGAAACAATGCACACCCAATTTGGTGGATTTTAATATCGCCTATAAGTTTTTATTTTTTATGTGTATATATTTTTCTTAAGACATCATCGTTGACTCAATTCAGCCCTTCTTTTCCTTGATAAACAAGGCAAAAATCCATAATTCTTTATCAATAAATCTTTAGTTGTGATAAAATATTTGTCAGTTATCAGTTGTCTCAAAAATCATAACAGGTTTACTTTATGGTCATTTTAGTAGCACCCAAACAGTAGCTATCGGTCGAATTTTTTTTACCCTATCGCCTTAATTGTTAATGCTGAAGCCTTCCCTATTAGTTTGTACACTTATATCATCATCATAATATATAGAACTTGGAATACCCGAGAGACAATTTGAGGATTAAGTCCGTCAGGATAAAGTACAAATGTTTTTATTAACCAAAATAAATAGTCAGATATTTAGCTCTAAGCGATTTTTTGATATTTACATACATTATTTACTTTTCAGCGATGTGAAAACAGAAATTGGTGAATAATTACAAATTGGTTTTTTTATTTATCTACTCTTAGTGCATCTAACCTTTACGATCTTTCGCCAGACTCCCATGTTCGCATTACTCGACGTCAGGATTCTGACGAGGCATACAATTTTTCTCCAAGCATAAAGATTCCAGGTCACGGTCTGATCTCTCCCTCTGGAGCTACCTGGAGAGTCGGACATGGGGCTTGCGCTGCAACCAAACCTCAGACTCCCGCAGCCTCGGCTACCACACCGACGACAGTTTCATCAGCTGCC